CGGCTCCGGCGTCCAGCTCGCGGGCAGCTCCGCGCCCGGCGCCCGCACGCTCAGCTTGGCGATGGTGGCCTGGATGGAGCTGATGGGCACGTCCCCCCCCAGCACCAGGTCCTGCGGGTCCTGCTGCACGTAGAGCTGGGGGGCAGCGGCGCCGTGAGCGGGGACCGGGACCCCCCTGCGTGCCCTGCAGCCCCGCGCCCGGCACCCACCTTGGGGGAGGCGCTGGCGGGCGCCTTGCAGGCGGCGGGGGGGCCGGCGCCGTGCCGCTGCAGCAGCTGCTCCGCGTGCAGCAGCAGCGCCTCGAAGCAGAACTTGAGGTGCAGCTGCAGGAGCGAGCACGGGAGGAAGAGGATGAGGAGGAAGAAGGGGGGGGGGCTGAGCCCCCGACCCCGCAGCCCGTTACCTTCTCCTGCAGCATGTGCTTGCGCTGCTGCCGCAGCCGCCGCACGAGCGGCGCCAGCGCCGGGATCCCGTTGCCGGCCTCCAGCTCTTGCACGGCCGCGTAGAGCAGGCAGAAGGCGCCGGTGCGGCCCACGCCGGAGCTGCGGGCAGAGCGGCGGATGGTCCCGGTGCGGGGGGGGCTGCAGGTGCCCGGGGGGGTGGTCCCGGTTTGGGGAGGGGGGTCCCGCGCCGCTCACCTGCAGTGCACCACGACGGGCGTGTGCAGCGGGCGCTGGTGCAGGTAGTGGCCGTGCACGTCGTGGATGAAGCTCAGGAGGCTGCCCTTGCTCTCGGGAAGGCCCCTGCAGGACGAGCGGCGCTGGGGAGGGGGCCGGGGCCGTGGCCCCCCCATGTCCCCCCCGGCCGCCCCGCGCGGGGCCGTACAGCTCGGGCCACGACGTGAACTGCAGGTGCACCACGGTGCGCTTGAGGCTCTGCTCGCGGTACTGCAGCGTGATCATGCGCTCCACGTGCGTGGGCGCCGCCCGCACGCTGCTCAGCACCAGCGTCAGCGGCCCCTGCACCACGGGCTGGCCCCGCTCCGACGGGAAGTAGCGCAGCACCTTTTGCTGGGGAGGGGGACAGCGATCAGGACGTGCGTGACAGCCCCGTGGTGCCACCCGTGAGGGGTCTGTGGCCACCAAGGGGCTGCCCATGGTCCCCTCAGCGGGGTCCCAAACACAGGACGGGGAGGAAGAAGCTCCCTGTGGGCGCCAGGGCGGCCGCTACCTTGTCGAGCTCCTGCTCGGACACGAGCATGACGACCACGGAGACCTTCTGCTCGTAGATCATGAGCCAGAAGTCGGCGGCGGTGCCGAGCAGCGGCGCCTGCGTGGCGATGATGGCGGGGCAGTAGGGCGAGAGGTCCTCGACGCGGCTCGCGTTGATGTAGTCGTCCTTGCCCGAGCGCAGCAGCACGCGGTTGCGGTCGTAGGGCATGACGTCCTGGTGGCGGTTCTTCATGGAGTAGCAGCGGGCGATGGCGATGGAGAGCTGGCGCGCGTCGCGCTCCTGCGCGTCCTGCAGCTCCTTCCACACGGCGTCGAGCGGCGAGGCGGCGCCGGGCGCCGCCGGGCACTCCAGCCGCTCCACGAGGCCGCGGAAGCGCTCGAGGTCGGCGCGCAGCCGCCGCAGCCGCTCGGGCTGCTCGTACGGGTCGCTCTCGATGAGCTGCAGCGCGCGCGGCCGCTGGCCCTCCTTGGCATCCGCCTTGGTGGGCTGCAGCAGCGGCGGCCCCCCGGGCGCCTTGGAGCCGCCGTGCTGCCCCTCGGGGCTGGACGAGAGCAGGTCGTCGGTGGTGGCG